GTTCTCGTGTGCGAGGCGGTGCAGGTGAGAGCAGGCTCTGGTGGCTTTTGAGACGAAGGCATGGAATGAAAGTCGATGCCGTCACCATGGAAACGATGTTTCCCCTCTTGCTTTCTTCTTCTCGGCGCTCCACTGCGCTTTGAGTGGCGTTTCTTTTGATGAGACGCTCGCACAAAATGGCAGCCCAGCTTCGGCTCTCACTCGCTCACGTTTGTTCCCATTCTTTCTGCTGCTCATTTCATCTGCTTCCCCATCCATCGTTCTTCATGCTGACGCAAGTGTCACCATTTCAGTAACAGCCTGTCATTATTAATAAGGCATGGACACCGATAATAGTGCATATCAAATGTTAAAACGCACAAACAAGCACACACTTGTTTACCAGTGGCAGAGAAGTGAGCATCAAGCTTGTAATGGTCTAATTAGATGTGTGGGGAGCTCGACTACACTGAGCCCACAGAAAGAGCCAGAGACAGAGGAAACATATGAAGACATCGGGCCAATTCTGTCATCTGTTGGAGTTTTAATGACATCAGACCGTGTTTCTGAGCACAGCTGTGTTACATTGTTTATTCTCTGCACATATCACTGCATGAGGAAAGACGGTTGAGCAGCGCTCGAGTGTGTGTTTGTGCCTCTGTTTGTGTGTGTATTCAGGAATGCTTCAGCATGACCTAAGGTTTACAACAAAATGTCAGGCAGAAAATCTTGTCAAAACAAGTGAGATTTAAGGCATATATTTTGCCATTTGAGACAGTTTACGCTGGGTCAGTAATGAAAACCTGTGTAGTAAATTTCATTGGTTGTCTAAGATCATTATAGTCATTAAACAAACTGTAAAGTTTAAGTGCAGTTCATTTAAATAAGTTTGAATACTGCCAGTCTTGGTGTTCACCAAACAAGCAGATGAATTTAAAAACAAAACAGACCAAAAATATCCAAACACAGTATTTCAGAAAGGTTTTATTGACATTTTATTCCCATCACACTTCAATGCAGGCATCAGAAAAGTGTTTACTTGTGGGAAATCTTCAACTATTTCTGTTTGTGTCTATTGTCTCCTTTACAATTTTAGGAGCTCTTTATGAGTTTGTGTCTGATAAAAATATGTCCATATAAACACAATAAAAACATTTAGTACAGCACATATTAGAGCTGCACAATTAATCGTAAAAAGATCGCGATCTCGATTCGACCCCCTAGACCACAGGTGTCAAACTCAGTTCCAAAAGGGCCGCAGCTCTGCACAGTTTAGTTCCAACCCTTATTAAACACACCTGATCAAACTAATTGAGTCCTTCAGGCTTGTTTGAAACCTACAGGTAAGTGTGTTGGAGCAGGGTTGGAACTAAACTGTGCAGGGCTTCGGCCCTCCAGGAATTGAGTTTGACACCCCTGCCCTAGACGATCTTAATCCAGCATTTCTACGATTCTGTCAATCATATTTTCAAGTTCAGGAGAGAAGCGAGGGTGGCCGCACAAGCCTTCACATTGTTTTACATACGTTGATAAGCAACGTGGACACCTCCAAATGGTGTTGAAAGAGTCACATGCTGTATTTATAAGATATAATTCACCTCAAAAATATAATTTCTGTCTTCATGTAATGTATTTGCGAACGCAAAATCACACGTGACGTGAGCTGACCGTCAGCTGTTGCCAGCTGTGCGGGCGCGCCTCTGAATGAAGTTTACTTTAGTGAACAGAACCTGCATAAGCTGTGAATACCAGGTAATAAAGTTGTAAATAACGTTCAGTTTGTGGCACAGAGTGATCGTTTGGGAGCCGCGTGGGAAGTGAATCACTCTTAGCAGTGAAAATTAAACCGAAAGTGCACACAGTGTTGCCAGATGTAGCTGACTGATTCTAGCCCAAAAATTATCCAAAACCCGCCGAAATGCAAAAATACCCACCCAGTCTTCTGTATTTAAGAAAATCACGTCAGTGAAAGATTTTAAGCAGAAAATTACAGAATGTAATCATGTCTCAAACACAATAATTCAACATCAGGATTATCATCAGCATTAATGACCAGGACAAATATAAAGTCTGTTCAAGTCCACCATTCCAAGTCTATACAACATTTAGCATTTTAACCAACAGTACAGCTACACAAAGCCTATAGCTGTTTTACCACATGTTTGAGAATAACAATAATAATAGCCCACTCATATTAACCTTTATTTTACATCTACAGAATCGTGAGAAAATCGTGATCTTTATTTTAGGCAAAAAAAAAAAAAAATTGCGATTCTCATTACATTCTCATTACATAAGACAACTTGGTCTTGATGGTGAATCTCCTCCAGACATGAAAGCAACTCTTTGTGTACAAGTTTGTGAGTGTTTAAGGAGTTGCTGTCATGTGCGTTCGACAGGACGGACTGTACTTCACATTGGTTTCATTCAGATTAAAAAAATCAAAAAAAACTTTTGTTTTCAAGAACACTCGGTTTGTTTAAAAGCACAGATTTCAAGCTTTATATTTGGATATAATTCTTGTTTCTTTGAAGCAAGTATATGCTGAGATTTCAGTATGTTTGTTGACCACCAAACTATCGTGAAAGCACACGGCTGTTCCGAGCTTCTACCCCAGAGAAACGTCAGTCTATAGTAATCGATGATTGGCTCCTGTTCTAGAAGGAGGGGCTTCATTCGCCATATTGATCATTACACTTCAAAACTATACGAGTAACATGTCTTGTGCATTCTATAGTCTTTGGTAACATTTAATAATATACATGCTTCACTATTTTTAATTCTGTATGAGGAAAAATCTATTTAAATTAGCATTGTTTTGGTCCATTTCCACTGAGGGGTACAGTACGGTACGGTATGAGTCGGTACAGATAACCTTTCTCAGGCTTGCGTTTTCACTGCCAAAAGGGTACCAACCAAGTGTAAGACAGAAAGTTTCAGTTGACGTAATTCTCGCTCAAGGAAGCACTTCTTACTAAACAGATGCTTTATAGACATAAATACTTGTGTATAAATGTTCATTAGTAACCTTTCTATGAACATGATTTGAATATAACTGCAGATCAATGATACAATAGCCTACTGTAAAATAGGCAAAATAGCCTACTGTAACTAAAATAGCCTACTGTTCTGCGATTATATAAAACAAATAAATTAATAAACACACACAGACCCTTACAGTCAACGATATGTTACCAATTACAGAAAAACTACACACAGTACACATTTAGTCCTTATTTGGGTTCAAAAACAACACGCAACATATGGCCTACAGTCAGTGCAAACTTCTCATCTGTGTCTTTAATCTGCACCAGCACATGTAACCTCCTTGTTAGAGAGTGATTCCGTCATTCTGAGTTCATAATAGTCCAAAAGGTGATGATAATAGTTAAACATGGCAGTTTGTTCATGTTTTAGATTGCTGAAAAAATCATTTGTTCATTTGTTTTGTCGGGCTTCTCCTTTGTTTTTTGTGCTTCACTCTCGCGTTTGTCCATTTCGAAAAGGATCCAGTGTCAAGCACTTCAATAATCACGCGCAATATTATCATCAGCTTAGGAAGTTCATTATTTCAAATATAAATGCGCGTCGAGCGTAAGCGAGAAAGCGAAACCACTTGGGCATTAGACAGCCTTGTAAACAATTACAGGGCACAGAGTAGTTCTGCTCTTTTTCTTGGCTTTATGGCTGTTCATCAAGATGACGACAAGGTTTGTTTAAGCTCGTGTTGACAATGGCTCTTAATATACAGTTTAAGTCAGAATTATTAGCTCCCCTGAATTATTAGCACCCCTGTTAATTTTTTTTTCTCCAATTTCTGTTCTGTTCTGGGAAGATTGTTTCAGCACATTTCTAAGCATAATAGTTTTAAAAACTTATTTCTAATAACTGATTTATTTGACCTTTTCCATGATGACAGTAAATAATATTTTACTAGATATTTTTCGAGACACTTCTATACAGCTTAAAGTGACATTAAAAGGCTTAACTAGGTTAATAAGGTGAACTAGGCAGGTTAGGGTAATTAGTCAAGTTATTGTATAATGATGGTTTGTTCTGTAGATTATCGAAAAAAAATTAGCTTAAAGGGGCTAATAATTTTGTCCCAAAAATGGTTTTTAAAAAATTAATAACTGCTTAAATTCTTGCCGAAATAAAACAAATAAGACTTTCTCAAAAGAAGAAAAAATATTATCAGACATACTATGAAAATTTCATTGCTCTGTTAAAAATCATTTGGGAAATATTTAAAAAATAAAATAAAAATCAAAAGGGGCAATAATTCTTCAACTGTATGTATATATTATTACGGTCTAATGTCTCGGTTGTGTATTTAAAAATAGCACTTTCTTTGTTTTTATTCTTCTGGCTTGTGCACAAGCTAGTGACATTTCTCTTTAAACCAATAGCGTTCAGCGGCGTGCCTCGCTCCACCATTTGGTACCCATTTTGTTGTGCTAGGTTCCCCTTTCGAAAGGGTACCCAAAAAGTAGTATGGTACAATTCGCTTTTAGGTACCTTTTGACTATGGAACAGCCATGAAAGCGTACCGAACCGTACCGTATACCACTCAGTGGAAACGGGCTATTAGACAGCTAATTCTAAGTGTAAAAGATATGTTGATTTGCATTACCGAACAGGAAGGTACTTTACAAGACAAGATGATTATGCTGTGTATATTTTTCAGTAGCAAATAATACAAAATGCTGCCTACTGTATGGAGGTAGCTCACAAGGGCTTTTAAAGCCTGTGTACAAAAAAAAAAAACATTAATAATCACTACAAAAAATGCCCCTTAATTAAAAAAGCTTCATTCATTTGGTTTCAATCCGCTCCTTGCCGTGTTAACAAGTGTGAATATTAATCTCTGTGCATGCATAGAAGTCTTATTCCAGGAGTTGTTTATTGCTTCAGTCTCTAGCCCCCCTCGCATTAATTCTCTTTCATTTTGCCATCTCCTTCTCTCTCTCTCGTTTTTCTCTCCCTCTTTCTTTCTCTCTGACGCTGTCAAAATTTGCCAGGTGACGGTGGATGCAATGTGACTCCTGATTAGTTGCTCTGGCAACCTCAGGGTACGTTCGCTGGTGGCCATGGCAACGGCTGAAGCATGGCGATGGAGCCCGGCAGATTATTTAAATTTAACAGGAATGAGAATACGGAGGCGGATTGGCAAACCACAACGTCATCACAGAGAAGATGTCGCTTGTCAATAAAACTGAAGCATAACTGGTGTGTGTATATCTGTAATTTTTATTCTGCAACAAACAGATTGTTAGGACCCTATTTAGACTGGGAGAGACAGGAGTAGAGAGAGAGAGAGAGAGAAGGGGGGGGGGGGGTGGTCTTGGTTAGTAGCTCCAGGCAGCAAGACCTCCAAGCAGTTTTCCATTATACTTAATTCCATAGAAACCAAACCCAGAAAGACAGGAAACATGGAGAGCAAAGAAAGCATTGGGTGGTTATGTGAGGGAATGCACATGGGAATGGAGGAATGTGAACGTGTTCTGTTACCACTGCCGTGTTTCCCTCAGTAGGAATGTATATGTGCCTTTTAAATCCTTTAGAAATCTGCCATACTTCCTTTGTTTAAGTATGACACCATACAAAGCATTAATACTACAATATTTAGGGTCAGGGGTTCCATTTAGGTATATACTTCTAAATCTATACTGTGTGAATGTTCTGCTTGACTGAGGTATTGACATCGCTTCTTGGCTCTTGCGTCAGTCGGTCTTCAAAATCATACATCATCCAGTCTGAGGCTTGACTTACAGTAGGGATTGAAATCAGAGAACAACATACAAATTCATGAAATCTGAGGTCCCTAATTAGTCCTGTTTGAGGTTATTGTGATATGTGTAAAAAAGCAGTATTTTAAGCATATTGTATGAGTCAACGCATTCTAAAGCGATGTATAAATATGAGATATTTGAAAAAGAACACTGATCGCAAAATATTAGATCACGATTCTGAACAAAACAACAAATTAATTAAGTCCTTAATTATCAATTCAGTTCTGTGAATATTTCTTAAATGATTCATTAAACTGACTTATAAAAGATTTACTTACTTCATTACTGGATAAATGAACCATTTTGAATGAATATCATGAAGGAATATTTCTGTGTCAAATAAATTTTCACCAGTTTTTTTGTAAACATTTTTAAAGTTTCAGTTTTCCCTTGAGGGGTACTATTTAGTACAGTACAGTATGGTTCGGTAGAGGTCTTCCTGTTGCTTGTGTTTTTCACTGTCAATAGTAAGCGTAATTTATTAGACATGGTGTACGCCAGATTGACAAATTGATGCACCCATCATTTGCATATAAATTATTTTGCAAACTCTACTTTTATTGTTTCAGATTTAGACTTGTGGCAAGCATGCGCAAACAGAGAGGAAGTGGTGCCCCTTACGCATTCCACACATGTAGACTGACATGAATGGCCCCATAAACATTAAAAGAGAGCATACAGCAGATAATATTCTTTGTTTGAGCATGGTTCATTGCTGTTCACCTGCTTTCTCCTGTAAATATGAAAATTGCGCTTTCTTTGTTGTTCCCATAGTTGATGCGTGCACAGGTGACAACTCAATATACCGTTAGCGTTACAAGTCTAGTTCCACTTTTTGGTACCCAGGGCTTAGTTTGTGCTTTAACATGGCGGATCTGGAACCTCTGAAATCTGCTCAGACACCTGACTTTACCGATCCCCCTCCTCAACTGCCCTCCTCCTCCGTCTGATGTTTACTTTCACTTTCTTCTGCGACTCCCTACCCTCTTCACTTTCATCTGCAACATCCCCCTGCTCTTCTATTTTGACCTTCGTCCGCGACACCCCTCCACCACATAATGCCGCCCCAAGCTTTACACTTTTCGTGTGCGACACCTCTCCATCCTAACATGCCGGATCCATTACCCTGATCTGTTCCAGGACCTCGCAATTTACAAATAAAGCACTGTTGGTACCATATTGTTATGGTAATTACCATTAGTAAAGTGTGCCAAACAGTGGTAAAGTACAGTGCAGTTCACTATTCCAGTGCCTTTGAATCAGAAGCCTTTTAACAATTATTGTGTGAATTTAATGTTCAGTCACACATTTGAAAGTGAAAATATTGTTTTTTGTTTTTACTACACTGTAAAAATTGCAGACTTCCACACAATTCATTCAGGTTGTCCAAACACTAATCAATTAAGTTAACTAATTTAAATGGATTGAACATAAAGCAAATAAGCTGTCCCCATTCAGCTTATTTTAATTGTATTTATTTATTTAATTGTAGGTTGCACCACATGACATTGTTGCCAATGAATTATTACATTTCTTAAAAATGTCATTAAAGGTTTTCAAAACCAAATTAAAAGACGAGTACAAAAAGTCTACTTGGCGTATGGCATTTTCAACTATAATTTTTAAAAGAATCTTTATCTTTGCCCATTTTATTTGTCATTGACCTATATGACTCTTTGAATTCATTTTTGTGGTGATGAGAATCAGGCTTAATTGCTTGAATCTGGCTTCATAATTCATTATCATGATGTCATGTGCATAAATGAACAAGCAGTGTATAGAAATTGAGAAACTGTGACCCAATCAGTAATGCACATTATGAAAAGCAGCTGAAACACTATCCGACAATTCTCTCTCTCTTTCTCTGCCTCTCTCTCACATGCACACAGCCAGAGTCACCATTGAAGTTGTGACTTCAGTCATCATGTGGTTTTGGGCTTCATTTTTGGTGAATTTTAAGGAATCGAATTCCAGCATGAGGGTGAACACCTGTGATGAAAAACCTTTTCAAGCAATTTCAGGTGAATAGACAAGGGGAAAAAAACTATTATTATCATCACCATACTGTAGTTCCCAGAATGGCCAACACTTTTTTTTTTTTTTTTACTGTATTTCAAGTTTTCTGAAATGCTGTTTAGGTCCAATACCAATTCTATTTTTGTACCCCTTCCCCTTCCACTTGGCCCTTAAAACAGAGTGTGAAGGAGAAGGTCTTTAAAATTTACCCCTAAGAAAAATTACACCTGCACACGTCATTTTATGTCATTGCAATCTCTCGCTTCATAAGAGATTGATGATCGCGACTGCTATAGTTATTCCAGTTGTGTAACTTTTTTCATATTTATCTTCAGAAAGTCACTGAAGGCAACGATATCATGTTATCATAACAATATAATGTAACAATAAGCTCGTAACTGTACTATGCATTTTAATCATGGCCAGCTTGTAACTTTACTATGCATTTAGATCATGGCCTGCACGTTAATGTACTATGGATTTAGATCGTGGCCATTTTCATCTATGTAAACACACGAAAACAACAACAACATTATAGCAGACAATGTAAAAAGGTCATTTCCTGCCACTTGACATTTCTCACAGGGTATTTGAGTGTCATCGAGTGTCAGATGTAAAAGCATGTTGTACGACTACTATACAAGAGTTATCAGTGGACACTAAATACACAAGGGACACTAGATAGCGAAATTGAGCATTTTTTATTTTAGCGTTTTTTTTAAAAGCATGAATGTGGGTATGATTGTATTAAAACATACGCTTGCATGTTGTAAAACTCATTATAATGACAAAAAATACTAATTTGTGCATCTACTGACTTCCGTGTGCAGTTATGCTGCCGTTGTAGCTGGTGTATTCTTGTAAATTTTGGTACCCTTTGGTTTCAAGTGTGGTCCAGAAAAATCTCCATTTTAAGGGCTATTTGGCCCTTTCCCTTAGCCCTGCACCTTCAAGCTAAAGAGAATGGTGACACCCCTTCCCCTTCACATGAGCATACAAAATGAGGGGTAAGGGGAAGGGCTAAGGGGTAGAACTGGGATTGGAGCACTTAAATGAAATATGCAACAGAATACGTACATTTATCGCACAAACATCTGTGCATTGGATGATATCAGATACAAATCTCTTGTTGCTATATTTTAACGTAGATTTTTTATTTATTTATTATTATTATTATTATTATTTTTTTGATAAAACATCGTTTAAAACACACATTGAAAAAGTGTGGAAAAAGAAAAGAAAAACTATTTTGGATGTTTTCTTAACTTTAGATGAAAAAATTTCAGACCTGACAAGTGTATGAAAAAGTAGTGTTTTGCCTTAAGCATGACATGATTCAGTGCTCACTCTCTCAACATGGCTGCTATCTGTGATTGTAAAGCTGTCAACGAAACTTGAACTTTAAAATAGGATAGGTTCTCTGTTCACTTCCCAAATCCCAGTGTGGACTGAACCTGGGCTGCGGTCCAGTGCAGCCTGCTCTGTCCTATGCAGAGGAATGATATTCCTATATATATAAATGTGAGCCTCCTGAAAATAATTCTCAACATATGGCGGGAGGTCAGGGCTGCTTGGAATGGGAATGTAGCCCATAAACACTGAGTGCATTTATAGATTTATTCATTGACTTTCCTAATTGTGTTTCACATAAAACAAGGCTCCTCTTTAATCAGTGAGTGAAAGATATTCACAGCCAATTAAAATTATAGATGTACTCAAGTAAATTTGTTCTTACACTGTCATGTTTAAATGCTTGAAATTGAATTTGTAGATTAGAAATAATCTAGTTTTGTTTTGTAAAATTACTATATATATAATAATATGAGTTTGGTCACTGTACATCGTAAGGAATTTGAGTTAATAATGAATTGATCTTTTTAATTAATTTATTTTATATCAAATAACTAAATATTTAATTAAATGTTGTAAATTAGCTGTAGTTTTGGCTTTGTTCCTGACTAGGCAACGCAAGGCAAGTTTATTTGTATAACATATAGCACAATTCATACAGAATGGTAATTTAAAGTCCTTTACTTAAACAGGAATAAACGAGACAAGTATAAGAAAATGAAAACAACACACAATAAAATGATTAAAAACAGATTAAAATGTGTTAAAACAGGTTATTAAATAACGAAAAAGAAAGACATACAGTAATAGTGCGATCTGTCGGACGTAGGATGGTGCTCATTTGGTAAAGGCACAGCTAAACAGATGTGTTTTCAGTCTTGATTTGAACGTGCCTAATGTTGGCGCACATCTGATCATTTCTGGAAGCTGATTCCAGCTGCGGGGGGTGCAGTAGCTAAAGATGAATTGAATGAACTTTTGGAATTTCTTATTTTTTTGATCCTGATGATCTGAGGGATCTGTTTGTATTCAGTGAGCATATCTGTAATGTATTGAGGTCCTAGGCCATTTA